AGATGAAGGTAAGGGTGTAGATTTGGTGTACTTGGATTTTCAGAAAGCATTTGACAAGGTGTCATGTAGAAAGCTTGAAAAATTTACCTGTATAGGTGTGGGGGATAGGATAGCAAATTGGATAAGAGTGGCCGAATGGAAAAAAGCAGAGGGTTGTTACAGATGGAGTTCAGTCAAACTGGATTACTGTCACAAGTGGGGTACCTCAGGGCTCAATCTTAGGACTTTTGCTCTCTTATACTTATAATTCAAATTATGATAACCCACATGCATTATCTTGCATTTATTATAATTAAAACCCATCTGTCCATTTATTTGCCCAACTCACTAAATGATCTAAATCCTTTTGTAAATCAGTAGCATCTTCTTCACAGCTAACAACACCAAAGACTTTGATATCATCTGCAAATTTAAGTAACTTATTGACTATTCCTTCATCTGTGTCATTGATGTAAATCAAACTTGGATGGTAATAACCTGAACACTGTTATGAAAGAAAGGGATCTTGGTGTAATGACTGATCAGTCTCTAAAGCCATCCAAGCAGTGGGCTGTTGCTAGTGGTAGGACAAATAGGATTTTAGGTTGTATCTACATGTCTAAAGAGGTTATAATTTCATTGTACAAGTCACTGGTTAGGCCACTTTTGGAATATTGTGTTCAGTCTTGGACTTCTCACCTTAGGAAGGGTTCAGAGAAGGGTTAATAGAATGGTGCCTGTGATAGAGGGGTTGTCATATAAGAGAGACTGAAATCTCTCAAATTGTTTTCTCTTAAAAATGTTACGATTATGTTAAAATGATCTACCATTCACCAGGGGGCTGAGCCAGTGGTAGCTCCCAAACTTTTAAAGCTGTGTCAACTACTTTACAAGGTTTCTAAAGAAAACCCTGAAACATGTATGATACAACTGTTTTAAGCATTGCAAACTACTGAAATCATTAGTCCAACTTCTAATCCATAACATATAAAAATTCTGACAATAATATTGTAGCCCAGGCTCTTGAGATAAATGTATAGTTTAACCCATCAGCTTCTCAACTTACAAAAATATTCCATTTTCCTTCTAAACAAACAACTACATTCAATGCCAAGAAAGGAAATTTTTTAATGCCATAATCACAAAAGTTAGCATTTTCCTACACTGAAAACGTATTTCCAATAGACACTTAATCTCCCATCACAAAATAGCTTTTCTTGACTAGCACTGCCCTCTATCAGCACAAATTCTCAATGCATGCCACCAGCTTACCACTTCCCACTTCTGCATATGCGAATGATCATGCTGCAGCAGCTCTTCACCAATAGGATCATGACACCACTCCTATTATAACAAGTGCCTTCAGTTTGGTCAGTAGGCCTACACTATATATTGTCGGGAGGACGGGTGGGAAATGTGAACGGACTTAAGTATTTATTAGAAATACATGTTCAATGTAAAAAAATGCTAACTTCTGATACGATATCTTACTTCTTCTCACAAAATAGATAGAATCCCACACTGAACTGATGGAGGACAGAATAAAAAAGATCTCCCTTTAGAAAGCACCCAAAGAGAGACCAGGTAGTATAGAACCAAAAGAGGAGGTAAGATATCGTATCGGAATATGCAAATCATTATATGCTTAATTTAAATATTTGAGAACTGATAAGTGATTCTAATAGCTAGCAATAAAAGATCTTCAATATAGCACGGATATTTTGAAAAAAAATGATAAAACTTTTAAAACCATCTGTATATCAGATTGTGTAGCATTTGCAGTGTTAAAAGGTAAGAAGTACACATACCACTTTAAAAACTAAATCATAGACAGGATCATTTCTCACTTGCAAAATGCTGAAAAACCCTAAGTGCATTTGTTACCATACAAAAAATCAAAACTTGTATTAACAAAACAAACACAGAGGATAGTTGACACTTAAAAATCAGAGAATTGGTTTATTCACAACAAATATTATTTAAAAGAAAAGTTTTTTGGCAATCAGAATCAATAAAAACATAAAAGAGAAAAAGCAATTCCAGATCTCGGAAAGTCTTGTTTCTCTTCGATATTAGTCTCAAATAGTAAAAGTTTACAAGACACTGGGCAAACAATCTGTTGTTAGTTTTTCTTCACCTCTGAAATAACCATGCTTTGTTGTGAAGAGCATGAGAATATTAAAGCTCATGACCACAAATTTAAAAAGTCTACAGTTGATAAATGCTCTTAATGGCAACAGAATTACTTTCAATTAAGTTATTACTCTCTACAGTATTTATGTTTTATGATTAATTTGATTCAGTTAAGATATTAATATAAAAATACAAGAACAAAACAAAAAAAAGGTGGGAAAGTAAGGTATTTTATGACTGAAATAAGTTGAATATTTTCTACCGAGAAGAACCATATTACAAAACATAGTATTACTTCATAACTCACTCTCTGGATTTCTTGCTCCCATCATAATATCCAGTTGGTAAGTGTTGTATTAGCCCAATCCGCTGAGCTACTCTGATTTGCTCTTCTTCTGTTAGTTGAGATACTGGGCGGCTTACATTCGGAGTAGGATAATAAACTGGAGCCAAAATACTTTCCTGCAAGAATAACTCATTCAATACAAACTTTATTACCATAAAAATAAAATAAACAGTTTCCCATATTTTATTTTTATTGAAAATGCGTATATCAGTGTATTACAGCATTATTTTTAAGTATATTATGTAGTCATTTTATTTAAGAAATTGTAGTTAGAATAAAAAAAATACTACAAATAGGATTTTTTGTTAGGTAATAAAGAATTCAGAAATTAAGAGTATTTAGCACTTCCTATTATAATTTGATATATTACTTATAAATATTCAGGTTTTCACCAAAATATCTTTACAACTACTGTTGTTATTTTTTCATACTATCCTGTGTAAAAATAAATCATTATGGGATCAGTATTCCTTCATGATCAATTATCATATAATCTAACTTTATTAAACCAGTTTTTGAAAAACCTTAGTGTTTTTGTTTTAAATTCTATATATAGAAAGCCCTATTCTTAAGATTCCAAACACAAGTATTAACAGCTCTTACCTGGTATGAAGGTGGAACTTCAAGTTGATCAGTAGATGATTCCCTTGTACTAGAGCTATTATTTTCTTGCAATAAGGATATATCATCTGATCCAAATGATTTCAAACAGTTGCCCATATTTTTTTATAGTTTTAATAAAGATAAAGCCTTCACAAAGTTATAAATGCCTGTTTGATATTATATGCAATTCTATGATGAGATTAGGCAATTTAAATTTTAAAGTTAATAACTGCACTTTAGTTTTAAATGAAGTTTCCGGTCTGAATCACCGACTTCACAGTTTTAAAATGCACTTAAACTTAAGTATTTATAAATCAAAATGAGAGATACTAGTAGTAGTAGTAGTTAGTTCATAAGCAAGATTATCACTAATATTAGTATTACTTATACTAACTAAGTTATAACTTATACTCACTGCCCAAGTTATAGTAATACTGTTAGCGTTATATCAAAATTTCATGAAACTACACTCCTCCGACCAGTATTATTGTGGAAGGAAGTTATTACCTTGTTTTCGTATTCAATACAAAAATAATTACATGGTCAACTTTAAGAGCTCCAATCGAAATGAAGTCTCTACGACTTTCAACAAATTATAATTGGATTAACCAATTTTCATATAAATATTTCCAATGAGGTATTCGCTAAGCCTAACGACAGCTTACAAGTTACGATATATGAATATAATTTTCGAACTCTCAGAACTTTGTTTTTAGTATTCTTAATCAACATATTAGTATATATATATTATCCTTAATAGGACTTCTGTGGTGGTTAAAATTCTGTACAATGAAATATTAAAGTTAATCGAATAATGAAACACGATCGTAGAAGGCAATACTTTCAAACTTTCCATATGCGATCAGTACTTTTAGTAGCTACGTGAGTGGTCACTTTGTCTTCACTCTAACGTCCCCGAACTTAACACGAATGAATAACATTTACATGAAAACCTGCAGTTAACACAGCTGACTCATAGTAATATTTATTTAATTATTGTATATGACTATGAGTTGACAATGTTTTCGCTACCTATTGTTCTTGTTATTATATTACGTTAAATATTCACGTATTTAATAACTTTATTACTTTAAATTTAATTTGTACATGAACAAACTGGCAGTATTAAATGTGTACACATTTTCATTACTTTTTTAAAGTAAAATCATTCATTATTATTTTAAGCTCAATTAGTATATAAGTCAAACATGTTGGTAAATGTGCATACATTTTAATTTAATGAAATTAAACTAAAAGCATTTAAAAACACAATACATAAAAAACTGAAACATAAAAGCACAACGATTGAGTTGCCAACGAAGATTATTTTTCAAGGGTCTGACTCGTTCGGGTCTAAGTCGGTATTGTTGCGTCAGCGAGGCCACGTGAATAGTGTCACGCCACCTATTTTCTAGAAATATCCCGTTCCTTCGTGAATGCCCTAGCATTTACTAGATATATGTTAGTCTGGTACATATATAGGACGCTCACAACGTGACGGGACAATGTGTGTGTAGGTAGTAAGTAATTGAACCGCAGTCAGAAAGTATTGTTGAAGTTCGTTGTTATAGCGTTTGTTATAGAGCGACTGTTGAAAATAAGTGTATTGGTAGTTATATTCAGAAAGAATAAGGCAGTTTTATTAAGAAAGGACTTGTGTCGCTAAAGTTTCGTGGGAACGAATTTACGGGAAATTAATTAACAAACGGACACGTAACAGAAAGTTGCACTTTGGGAATGTTTTAGATGCCGTTTTTGACTAATATGTCACTTTTTCTACCCAGAAAAGCTATATTAAATAATATACGTTTCTGGGCAATATTGTGATAACAACAACAACGAAAAACTGTTTATACATGTAGATACGAATGACGAAAAATTACGTAATGTAAATTTATTACTGCTTTGAATAAAGACACTGCGAGACTCGGTAGAGGCGTAGCCAGGCCGGTTTTAGGGGTTGGGTAGATAAGAACCCGGTTGTGAGAACGCCATAAGCTTGCCAAAACTGCTTCTGTAATAGTTGAGCGAAATGCATTGTAGAAACTGAATTTTAAAAATATTTCAAACAGTTTTTACCCTATAAATTGAAAATATATACCTATATAAATCTTGCCTATTGCTTCAGTTATCGTTGCTGCCGTTAAGTTGAGCAATAAGCATTTAGAAGTGTACATACTTCAAATTACTGAGGAAAAAAAAGTTCCTAAACGTATGAAATCAATAATACTATTGTGATATGGTCCATGTCTGAACATCCTAGGATATCCCAGATTACTGCACACATGACACCAGGTTTAGGGTTTGCTTACCCACATTTTGGTATGCCACCCATACTGATAGACGATTAGATCAGTATCAGTTAGTGTTTGAGTTTATATATTACTATGCTCTAGCCTTCAATATCGTAAATGGACAGTGTAAAAGCAGCAAAGTATGAAAAACAAAATTTTATGAACATCACTCCACAACGACTTAGTTTTACTGATATTATGGTAGTCTCAACTTTTTAATGTATTTTTAGATTAGCAGCAAATTTTTGATTAGAAGTGATACCTGTATTGGTTTTCCCATGAAAATTGTAGTTACAGCCTTTGACTGTATAGTCAGACGTGGCAGAATCTTTGTGTCTGGACTGCATAGTCAGACGTGGTAGAATCTTTGTGTCTGGACTGCATAGTCAGACGTGGTAGAATCTTTGTGTCTGGACTGTATAGTCAGACGTGGCAAAATCTTTGTGTCTGGACTGTATAGTCAGACGTGGTAGAATCTTTGTGTCTGGACTGTATAGTCAGACGTGGTAGAATCTTTGTGTCTGGACTGTATAGTCAGACGTGGCAGAATCTTTGTGTCTGGACGGTATAGTCAGACGTGGTAGAATCTTTGTGTCTGGACTGTATAGTCAGACGTGGCAGAACCTTTGTGTCTGGACTGTATAGTCAGACGTGGTAGAATCTTTGTGTCTGGACTGTATAGTCAGACGTGGTAGAATCTTTGTGTCTGGACTGTATAGTCAGA